CGGTCCCAGTCATTCCCCTCGCTGGCCAGCAGAGGCCGCCATCCCCGGACCTTTAAGCATTACATCATCCACCTAAACTGATTGCGCACACACCTGAACTGAATCCCGTTAATGACCTATGCCACCTGTTATAAGCCACGCTCAGACACCAGTTCAGTGCGATGTCTTGTTCTGCCACGGCCATCATTTCTGAGCATTAGTCCTTGCCTGATCTTCTGTGTATTACCCCGGACTGTTTCTGACTCTGAGTTGCCTTCTGCCTGCCCACGACCCACGCTTGTAATACAGACTCTGTACCATGCTGCCTGCCCTCGACCCACGCTTGTTATACAGCAGGGCCGGAGTGGGACTCTTTTTCAGCCCTGGAGTTTCAAGCCTTAGACCGGCCCACCTCAGTTCACCACTGACTATGTTAAAATAAGGTAATTTCCAATTCAGTTTCTAATTACACTATCACGTCTTTTTTTGAGAAAACAGCTGTTTTAGAACTTCAAATGTTCAACAACCCTTACATTATTATATGTCTTAACAATAAAAATGAAAAAAAAAAATATGTTTTTCAGGCAGGGATTGAACCCGGGTTGGCAGCGCCACAACCTAACGTGCTAACCACTGTACCACAACAGCTCACAAGACTACGAGAAAATAGATAAAAAGAGCAGAGCTGCGGTAAAATAATGAATAAGAAGGCTGTGGTCAAGTAAATAAATAAATTATTTTTAAAAAGTGTGACTGCTGAGAGCAACAGATTCTGGAGCTAGGACACCGGCCCTCACGGCCAAAAAACGGACCAGCCCACCGGGAATTCTCCCGGTCCTCCCGATTAGCCAATCTGGGCCTGTTATACAGACTCTGAACCACGCTGCCTGCCGTCGACCCACGCTTGTTATATGGACTCTGAACCACGCTGCCTGCCACTGATCCATGCCTGATATATCACTCTGTGTCTGTCAGCCGCCAGCCCCACGACCAATACTGAGTGCTGTTGATGTGAGTTCGCACTTTAGTGCGTGTTGTATGTTTGTGATTGAACTGTGTCTATTAAATACTGCAAAATGGATCCCTCCATGTCAGTCTCCTCGTTACACAGAGAAGGTATATGTTAATATCTAGGTATATGTGAAATATCTGTTTATATTTTTCTTACCCATTAACCATGGAGTTCAGGCATTAAAAATATATCACACTATGCAAGTGTTTTTATATGTAAAAAGACGGCGAAATGAATGTGTTACGGAAATGACAAAAAAAAAGACATGAGTTTGTGAGTTGACATACTTTGTGAAAATTCTGTAAATGAAAATAATTATTACAGTTAACTGTAATAATAATTACAGTTAAAAGGATAAGGGTTGGCTCTGCATGGGACATGTATAATTCGTTTTATTTAGTTTTTCAATTTTGTATTAATGAGGAAAAGATATCGTTATGGACGTGACTTGTCTTCGTTACGGAGGTGAAGGTGACTGCTCTAAAATTGACAGTTGAC